TGTTGACGGGACACCCCGGCGGCTGCGGGAGGGGTGCCTGACGGCCGACGGACACCCGGCGGCGGCGGGAGGGTTGCCTGACTGTCGGCGGACACCCGGCGGTGGCGGGAGGGATGCCGGGCCACCTGTCGACGGACGACCGTGGCGGCGGCAGGAGCGCCGGGGCTCGGCCTGGCGTGACTCGGCGAGCGAGGCCGGGTCACGCTCTCCTGTCCGCCGCCGGTGCCGACGGTGGAGGGGGAGGGGCTCGGCCCCTGCGCCACTGATGCCCCGGTCTTCTGTTTGTGCCTATCTGTCTCACTGTGTGTGTATGTCTGTCTGTCTGTCTGTGTGTAGGTCTGTTTGTGTGCACGTCTAATTAACGGCGCCCCGAGAGTTGCGTGCGGCGTGCTGGCGTGACCGCCCTGACCCTGGACGGATGTTCGCTCGGCGGCGACAGCCGTCCGCCCGCCCGGCAGCGCCGCTCGGGGGCCGGCGCTGGCTTACTACCCGGCCGCGTACCTCCGGAGGGCCGGCGCCGGCTCACTGCCTGGCCACGTGCTTCGGTGAATGACTTACCGTGACCTAGTTGTTGTTATTTATGGGGTTGTTCGGGTACGTTGATTGGTGGGGTCTCATCGCGCCCCGCACGGCCTCTGCGGGTGCGTGGCTCGCAGTTTGACGGCTTCCGGCCGGGTCTCATCGAAGCAGTGTTGCCTGGAACCTGGGACTCCCGCGCGGTAAACCGCGCAATCGACCGCTCTGTGCGGGGCGGTGGCGTGGAAGCGCCGTCCGTCGGTGACCGGAGAACGTAAACGCCCCCTCGTTTACGCTCGATCCGACAGGATCTCGGCGGACGTGTTCCCCGGGCGGCGCGGTAACGTGTGTATACGCCGTGGTCGTTAGCACAGCACTATCTAGCGCCGTTATTGCCAGGAAACCGAAATAAAGCGGCTGCTGGATGTCTGGCTAACGAGCGTGCAGTCGTGGAACGGGCAAGTCAAGGCCAGGTCGGGCTTTGTACGCTGTATCGATCGGGCGCGGCCGTGCCTCAGATTTGTTGTGTGCCGGATCTGCGGGGCGCCGTCTCGGCACGACGTCCCTGATGTGGAATTTAACCCCTGACGGCGACGGGTTCTCAGGCTGTGCTGCGGTGAATCCTGATATGAGAGGGTGACAAACTGCCTCGTGCTGTCGCTGACATTCAGCTCCGAAATGTAGCCCAGTTCAGAAGTAGATGTCGGTGAGCTTTGACTGGGGAGCACGCGATCCGAATTTTGAATATTGATGAAATATTCAAGCAGTCACGGACAGAACGAAAAACAGGGTGGCGATTGTCAGTTACTTTCGTCGGCGGCTGCCTGTTGCACCAGCCTCGTGCGAGCTCGCTTGTTTTCGTGAAGTTCAGCCTCTTTGTTTACGAGGCCGTGATGTCTAGATGGGCTCGGTCCCCCACTTGCGAGATATTCTCCAGTGCATACCGTAATGGACCCGCCGGGTGCTGTTAATCGAGGCTGTGTCGGCGCGAGCGAGACATCTCGTCGGCCGGCGGGCGCAGATGGGCAGACGCGGCTCGCCCCGCCTCGCCGGCGAGCCGCTGTCCGACGCGACGGTAACGACTCGGCGGCGGGGCTCGCCTCGCCTCGGCCGAGCGAGCCTGTAACTCGTCGGCGCCGCGGTCGGCCCGCCATAAGCCGGCTATAATCAGGCGCTGTCCCCGGCAATCACTTAGCGCCGGCGCCCCGGCCGTTGTCAGCGAGCGAGCGAACGGGCCGGCTGGCGACCCGTCCGTCCCCGGGACTGTGCGAGGACGGTATACGGTCCTCGCTCGACACCTGGGGACGATCCGCAACTCGGAGCCGCCCCGTGGGATGCTGTTTCGCGACTGGAGCCGGGCTGCCCGGCGACATGGCGAGGTCTGGCCTGTCCGTCCGGGAGCAGTACGGTGTCCCGACCCGGCTGCCCAGCTGGGGTGCGCTGCTGACAGTGTCGTGCGTGGTCACTGATCGCGCGGCACCCGCGCGGGGTCTCCTTGGCGGGTCCTGCTGTGCGCCCAGACCAGGTCCTGAGCGCCAGTTGGAGCGTCTCACCCGTCCCGTTGGAGCGTCTGTCGGCTGTGCCCTGGCTGTGCCGTTGTGGCGGTCTGCTCGCGATGCGGAGCAGCGTGGCTCTCCGTGTCGGAACACTGGACATTGTTGGAACACGGGACAGTGTCGGAACACGGGACAATGTGGGAACACGGAACAGTGTTGGAACACGGGACAGTGTCGGAACACGGGACGCGACATGGACCGCCGACCCGCCGACCCTTCCCGTCCGCCCAGCCACGGCGACGGCCAGGGCGTGCTGTTGGGCGTGGTGCGAACGCAGCAGACACCGCCACGTGGTTTTCGAGATGGAGTCCGGTTTGTGGCGTCGGTACTGCCCCCATGCCGCGCGCGTAAAAGCTGGACTGCGGGTGGCCAGTGATAATGCCGAGTGGAGGGCTGATGGGGTTATTGTGTTTTGCACCGAGATGTGACCGCGCATCCCAGACCCGCCGTTGATACTTTACCGGGTGATCACTCCGCCGTTTGACCCCGGGCGGAGTAAGGACGCATGGGAAGGACACATGCGCGGTGCAGACCTTACGCAGGGTACGCGGTGCCACGTGGTCCGAAGGCTCCCACAAGGTCTACGTACGGTGTCGGCCTTCGTGAGGTCAACTGGCTGATGCGATCAAGGTTCTCCATAACAGCCAAGGGAGCATAATATACTGGAACTGCTCGGTTTCAACCAGCCGTCTATTTGTCTAAATGGTCGCCGAGACGACATCTGAGAGCTCTGGAATGCGCATGGATGAATCCTAAGGAAGGACATTATTGAAGTTGGCCTGCAGGATCGATTAACGTGGGAGAATGGGGACTGCCATATGCTCTCTCGCTTAGCAGGACTCACTGCACAGCCGTGACAGTCGCTCTGGTCGTGTGGTAGCGGCACCAGCCTGGGAAATCCCCACCTGTGCCATAAAAGGACTGCTGTTGGAACCAGTTGGAACACAAGCAACGTTTACACTTGCAGCAAGGGGAGCAGGCGTCATACTTGCTTCGCATTCCCACGGAATTTGCCACCGTTCGGCTTCGCCTGCTCGAAGTTGGAAGCTCCATTCACGACGTCGTCGCTGTTGTCAGCGCCCGCCTGAGCTATGGCGCCGTGCGACAACCGTTCGCCCAACACATTCGACACGTCGCAGCCGGCCCGACAGCTGTGAGCGGACGGCAGCCGTTCCAGGCGCCGGCTCCGCGGCCGGTGCGTCCTCGCTCCGGCGCCGCAGCGTCGCTGGCGTGTGGTGGCGGGGGACGATCGCGGCGGCCGCCGCCGGCACCGCAGCTGGCGCCCGCCGGCTCCCGGTCGCTGATGGATAGCGGGAGATCCGGTTAGCCATGCCGCCGGGGATGGCGGGCTGAGCTGTGACACGCCAGAGCGCCGCCGGAGATGGTGGGCTGAGCTGTGACACACTAGAACGCCGCCGGGGATGGTGGGCTGAGCTGCGACACGCCAGAGTGCCGCCGGGGATGGTGGGCTGAGCTGTGACACACCAGAGCGCCGCCGGGGATGGCGGGCTGGGCTGCGACACGCCAGAGCGCCGCCGGAGATGGTGGGCTGAGCTGTGACACACTAGAACGCCGCCGGGGATGGTGGGCTGAGCTGCGACACGCCAGAGTGCCGCCGGGGATGGTGGGCTGAGCTGTGACACACCAGAGCGCCGCCGGGGATGGCGGGCTGGGCTGCGGGCTGAGCTGCGACACGCCAGAGTGCCGCCGGGGATGGCGGGCTGAGCTGTGACATACCAGAGCGCCGCCGGGATGGCGGGCTGAGCTGCGGGCTGAGCTGTGACACACTAGAGCGCCGCTGGGGGTGGCGGGCTGAGCTGTGACACACTAGAGCGCCGCTGGGGGTGGCGGGCTGAGCTGTGACACGCCAGAGCGCCGTCGGGGATGGCGTGCTGAGCTGTGACACACTAGAGCGCCGCTGGGGATAGCGGGCTGAGCTGTGGCACACTAGAGCGCCGCCGGGGATGGCGGGCTTAGCTGTGACACACTGGAGCGCCGCCGTCGACGCGGCAGCCGACTTCTTGCGATGCTCGAATATGTTGTGACAGCTAAACGGCGTGTTGTGCCATGCCTGTGTGTAAACCGCAGGAGGAGCGGTCCCGTTGGTCGACTGTGGGCGTGTTTGGCCTGCGGATTCTCTCGCAGAATGACCCGGAATGTTGGAAAATTCCCCGAAGCGGCGTTCGCCTTTGCAGCAGAGAGAAATATTTCAGATGATTAATCGGGTCGTGTGAGAATCCCGAATGATTTTCAGAGTGTGTTCAGTATGGATATTTATTTTCGTCATGCCCAGCGATGACCGTTGGCCAGGTTGCGGCTATGTATGACGCGTGTCAGACAAAACTGGGTGTTAATTGTATAGCCCACTGAACCCAAATAGAAAACTCCGTGGATGGTTACATGGGCACTATATGACCGCGCAGTCGAAGCACCCTGAAACCTCAATTACTACTACTACTACTCCCTGAATGGTTATCGGGCGGGGAATTATTGGTTGATCAGTTTTCACCAGTTGAACGCGGCCGGTCGCGATCAATTTGGCATGCCGCGTAATGTGGTATGCTGGTTGTATATCATGTATAAATTTCCCAAACTTGCGTGAGATCTGCGCCATAAATGATCCCCATATCCCGCGCAAGCCCTACCAGTGTCAACTATGCTTCATGCATGAGCTGTATGCGTTGCAGGGGCTTATTGGCGCGTCACGTCACGCGTCACGCGCGATACTGCGTGAGTCATTATCGATCGGGATTTGGCCGCCGGCCTGCGCCCTGCGCAGCTAACCCGTGCTGGTGACAACTGCTCATCCTCACATCAATCATCCCAACGCCTCCTGTCTGACGTGGCTGCGCTGGATGCCCGTACTGTCCGTGAGACGTCCCATCGGCTTCGGCCGAGGAGTGACGGCGCCGTCGTCTCCGCCGCCAGACGACGCCGTCATGGACCTGCTGAAGGGCATGAGCCCGTGGCAGCTGGACTCGGAGCTGCGGCAGCTGGCGCCGGCGCCGGGCGGCTCTACCAAGCTGCTCCGGCTGTTCCTGGTCACAGTGCAGCGTCAGCTGGACACAGCGAGGGACTTCGAGCTGGCGCAGGCATACCTCGGCCTCTTCCTCAAGGTAAGGCGGAAACGGGGCCACGGCCTGGCTCAGAAGCTCGAGCAGGGGGACTGGCGTGGGCCAAGGCCGGCATATCCTTCAGGGTGGGGCAGGAGTTGAGGCCAGACCTGGGTCAGACGCAGGAGCTGGATCAGAGGCGAGGTCAGAACAGGAATGTGGCAGGTGCTGTCCAGGACTTTCATAGGCCTATTTCGGCTCTTCCTCAAGGTGACACAGGGGCTGGTGGTGAACGCTGTGACGGAGGCTGGGACTGGAGCTGTTGTGAGGTCTAAAATGCAACACCTTTTCTCCCGTCCAACAAAACGTTTGAAGGAATCCCGTCCAAACGTCACGCAATCCTCCAGTAGAGGAAGCTGAACCCAGACGAGCCCGACCCTCTGGTTGTGGATTATAATGTGGCCGCCCGACGAGGCTCCTTAAACATGGCAGACTTTACTAGCTCGAACACGTACTTGAATCTAAACGCATGCTGCGCACCTGTAGCCTGCAAGACGGGCCGGAGGTGGCTGAATGTGCAGGAAGAGCATACCAGGTACTACGGGCACGTGATCCGCCGGATATCGGCGTGCGGGAAGTGCGCAGTTGGATCGCCCCCGGCCCCGGCCCCTCCTTCGTTCTTCCTCAGGAACGGAGCGATGCGAGGGGACCGGGCCGCCGAGAAAAAGGCAAGAAAAGGCAAACGTGCTCGCTCCAATAACGAGACGGTCGCCAGTCCATGGCACGCGAGAACAGGCTTTGAACGCGGGCGACTTTCGGGGCCGCGACGCTTGCGACCGCACGAGACGTTTGCACGCCTACCATATGCATGCATGGAAGTCTCATCTACCAGAGGACCATGACATATGGTGGGAAGACTTGGCGGTAGACGGCCAAGCGACGTATCTTTAACGACGGAGCTACTACGTGAGTAAACTCACGGTTGGACGGAAATCAACGCCAAGTGGGACATAGACCAGCAGAGCATGCCAATCGACCAGACCACTTCTAGTTGTTACAATCATCCTGACAAGATCGAGAAAACCGAAGAGGAGAGGACGAGGGTGGCTGGCTACAAGACAGCAAAGTGGACCGAGTTTCGCCACTCTGTGGATGAGCTCATCGGCAAATGGCCCAAGACGCCGGGCAGCTGTCCGTCAGATGGACAGGATGTTCAAAAACACCAGCACGAAGGCCGCTCGACCGACCATGTGAGCACCCGACACCTTTCTTGGGCGAGCAATACGATCAATCTCTCAAGCGCTGTGTCGAAGTCTTGAGAGAAGCAGCAGCCCCGTACCACCCGGCAGCCGACGTCAAAGCCTGCCGAGATGCCGTAGCAGAGGCCGACACCAGTTCAGAAGGGACAAACGGCCGTCCTGCGCCTGCGGGCGCGGAGTGCTGCCCATCCACTGACATGTGGGCTCTGTTTAGAACGCTGGGTGGGAGGAGCCTCCGGCCAGACCATCGGAACCACTCGCGAAGAACCTCCGGCCAATCCATCGGAGCCACTCACGCGACCGTTGGTCGCCTCCCAACCACCGCCATCAATCATCTCTTGTAAGGAAAGAGCAGGTTTTCTGCGTCCAGAAAACGTCGAAGTGAACCGAATCGCCAAGAGCAAAACTACTTGCAAAGCAGGCTTGAGGCACGCCCTGCGCCAGCTTTGTGCCTCCGCTGCAACAGCAACGACGCGTGCACGCACGCACGCACGCACGTACGCACGCACGCACACACGCACGCACGCACGCACGCACGTACGCACGCACGTACGCACGGGGGGCGGAGCGGGACCGGAACTGTGACAGCACATGCTCAAACCGCACTCCCAGGGCAGTGGGAGTCGTACCGGCCGTCGCCGCCGGCCGTGCTGCCCATTTCGGGTGACAGCTGTGCTTGACCCGGGCGACCCCTCGCTGGCACGCAGGTAACCACGGGGTCGGCTCTCGGGTCGCCCGGCGGCCAGCAGGGCCCAAACCGCGTCAGAGTAAGTCACGATCGAACTGTATCTGCCCAGAATGGAACTTTGATTGGGCGCTCGTGGACGGTTATTCGTCAAGGGAAACTCACCCGTGCCACGCTCGTCTCGAAGCGGCGTGCGCGCGTCGCGGAGCTAGCGTCTGCAGACGTTGGTATGAACAACGATAGGGAACTCGCAGGTATAGTGCGTTTTTCACGATTTGACAGGTATTTTATTGGAGGCTCACACTGACACCGAATGAACCTTTGGGGGACGGCAATAGCGAGACTGAATTTATTCCGGTAGACTAAAAGTCATTTTGGTCTACTATACAGACTAGAATAACTTCGGCTGATTGGAATCCTGGAATGCTTTTGTGCCAGCTGGCCATGATACAGCGGGCTGCTCCTGGCTCTCGCATTACTGAACCAACTTAGCCTTGAATCGGGCGTGGGCAGGCGTCGCGTTGTTTGATTCTCAGAACGCACTTTATTGCTGGGGGCCAGGTCCGTGAGGCCAGTGCTGCAACTCATCTCCACGCTCGAAGTTCAGATCAGGAGGACCAATCGGATTCGGCGGGCATGGAAACACGGACGCCAGGCGCCAGCACCGTGCAGGGTGAGCGCAGGCCTGCGTACCCGATCTTGTTTGACCCGGAAGGGGTCGCGGAATTATCGGCTCGCCAACGCTGAAAGATGCCGTCTGGTTTTGGCCCTAGCGGTCCATTACGGCGTACGCTTACCGCTGCACGCGATGCGCGCATGATGAACGTCCGCCGCTATGTTGATTGGAAAACCTGCACACGTGACGACGGTCGTTTTGATGTCCGTTGCGCGTCGCGTACACGACAAATCGCTCTCCCGCCCGCGAAATGTGCGGTTGCCACCACTACCCTGGCGTTGTTGTGGTGCATGGTCACTTGCTTAGCTGAAGAAATCGCACCCTGGCGGTGCGTCCGCCGGCGGCTCTGCGACCGAACGCGGCGCGTTTGGGCTCGCTCCCCCCCCCCCCCCCCCCGCCGCCGCCGCGAACCCGGCAGATCACCGCGGTAAGAATAACCATGATCAGATCATGACACGGCTCTCTCAGCCAGCCGGGCTGATGGCAGCCTTCCCCTGGGACCTCCGGCAGGCGGGGACGGCCCTGGCTTCGGCTGCGGCGGCGACCTGAGAGTCACCACAGAACGGCCCAACGGCCCAAGTCGAACCGGCCCGAATGATGACCGTGATATGGGCCCTGCTTGACAGCCGAACCTGTTTGGAGGCCATTTCATTGCACTCAGAGGCCGTGGCCTGGAACAGATGGGGGTAGTGGGGTCCCGACCGCGACCCTCGTGTGCGTTGTTTATCACGTTTGATTTATGGGCTGGTTTCGGGCTTATGAAATTCATATGGGAGTTTCATAAATTTCTGCGCCGCGGAGGTGCCGCGGATGCAAAGTCGCCGTGTTATCCAACCATCCATTGCTGTCGGTTTTCGATATAGGCGGCACCGGCGGCGGAGGAAGAGCGGCAGAGAAACTACCAAGCGCAAAGTCTTCGTCTAGACGAAGTCGGGAGTGAAGGGATTCTCACCACTTGGATAGCCAGCCAACTGGCGTATTTTTGGCCACAATTCGGTACACGTTTTGCCAGCTGCGTCAGTGCGGCAATCACGGATCGAAACCGGCTGTTAGGTTTACGGAGCTTCCGGAACGCGTCTGCTCGTGTCATGCAAGGTGTCTCGGACAGGGTACCATAGACGCAAGAATGTTTGGGGAAGGATAAACCATAGGCCACCCACTTGCTGAAAGTTTTATGTTAACTCTATGTAAGACTGGTGGCAAGCAATGCCTGGGCAAGATTGGCTGAAAAGGCGTGTTTCATTCACCCGCCTTCTTTGTATGTATTCCCTCGCTCTTGCAGAGCAGTGAAGGAAATACCGTCTTCCAGGGAGGAGTGGTTGAGATTGGTCGTGCGCCCTGAGGACGAGTGGTCCAGTCTGATGGCTTACTTCCGGAGATCCGGTAATCCCTCCCGTGGTCCACAGTATGAACTGTCTGTGACCTGGAGCCGTTATATCCGCTCATTGAGAAATTTACCCGCAATGAACCAGGCCCAAACGGCCCTCACCGGAGGTACAACGTTTAGTTGTAGCTGGTCCGAAAGCCTCGTGGGCACTCGTGCAAGACGTATGTGCTCTCCTGTGCAGCTTAAGGTCCCTTGCACGTGAAGACATTCCGCTCCCACCCCGTCCGGTCGTAGAGCCGGCGCCGCTGCGGTGTGGGGCCCGGTCCGGCACGGGTGCATCGTCGCAGTCCCCGCCTGCGCAGGCGCTTCGATAATAGCCGTGCCGTGTTGACCTTGTTTGAACAGCGTGTCGGTCGTATGGGAACGGCAGCAGCCGTCGTGGTGCCCCCCCCCCCCCCCCCCAGCTTATCGCCCCGTGGAGCCCGGACACCCAGCTGTAGTCAACGATACGGCGGCCTCTGACGCTGAGGGAACCTGAACTTGTCCAGATGTTGGGCAAGGCAGGATGAGGCCGGGTTTTGCCGCGAGCATCCGTGATATTCGAAGATGTTGCGTTGGGCAGGCGATAGGTGATGACATGGTCCCGCCTTGGAAACAGCTAGGATACAATGGTACGGTTATCTAGGATGGTACAACATTACCGATGTGGAGAGTTGGGTGGGCGTGGTGAACCACATCCATGACACATTAAACTCCGATGCATTTCTCAGCAACCGCGGCCCGCCCAGAAGCCGACTTGTGTGTCGCCAGCATCAGCCGAACAGCCAAATGGCTGGCACGGTGATCAGCTGTTGAGTCCCAATCAGCCGTTACTTGCATAGTATTGCGCATAAAGACGACAGTTATGGCGCGCCGCGGCCAATCGGCCTGGCCGTGGGGCGGATCCGTCACGATCTGTCCATGTGTCGGCGCCATTCCCTGAGAGCGGTTAGCCCGGCGTAATGGGTTTCGAAGTGGGCGGTTGGCGAGGTAAATGTGTCTTTGTTCCTGAGGAAAGTTCTAAGCACTGGCAGTGGCCGCTTTTCTGCAATGTACAGCGGGCGTAAATTTGGCTTCACGGGACTTCCCGACGACTGGGCTATTAAATGGCGATAAGGAACGCCTATGCTCGTGACCTCGCTCAGCGTTATGAAAGGCTTTGTTGACGTAATTCTTGCACATGGGTTAGTGAATTTTGCGGAAGTGACTATTTCACGGTTACATTGCGTGGAGCAAGATGCTTCGCAGCTTTTAACGAAATTCAATCTATATTATTCGCGCGCCAAGTAGCCAAAACTCGGCAAGGTGGCCAGATCATTGAGTTCGTTAGGGCTGTTTGGGAAAGCGTTAATCCCAAATTGGCCCAATTCGATGAAGGAATGAGCAAGTCGGCAGCAGCTCAGGCACGGACTGCAGGACGTTGGCAGTTCAGCCTCGCTGAACACCCCGAGAGATGCCAGATTTCCGCACTTCAGTACCGGCTGTACCTTAATGCTGCCCTGGCCGGGCAATGTCCTGAGCTTCGCCGGTCGCTAGATGAAGTCGTGCTGGCAAAGAACGTTAGCGCGAACGTTGGCACTGGCCAAATTTTGCCGTCTTTTGGCCGTTACCGACATATGGCGATACCAACGCACGCTGGTACTGGTGCAAAAGGCAAATAAGAAAAGCTGCATCTCTAGTAATGGCCCTTGTCATTCTCTCTCCATCGAGCCAATCGGAACGAAATGTGTCTACCGAAAAACGGGAATATGTTGTTGTTGCAGCCCTTCCTGACGCCGAAAAATTGTTCCCGGGTAAAAGCTTAACGTAAATATTACGGTGACTCCAGCATCCAGGACTCCGACTTCTGTGGCTCAAACCTCCGTGACTCCGGCCTCCGTGACTGCAACCTCCGTGACTCCAACTGCCGTGACTCCGGACTCCGTGGCTCCGACCTCCGTGACTCCGACTCCCGTGACTCCGACTGCGTGACGGTGCTCTCAGGCGCCGACTCTAGGACTCTGCTGGCAGCGTGGCGCACCGATCCAGCATCTCTCGGATCATGGGGCACCGCAGCCGGTCGGCGCAGACCCGCACGGCGGACGCGCCGCATCGGCCTTGCATTTAAATGTTTGTGATTACGGTGCGTTACGGCGTGCGCGCCGGCACCTCCGCCGCCGGCGAGCACGTCCTGCCAGGGAGTCGTCGTCAAATCACGTCCGATGACGCTCATCCTCCGAGGTTTCGCCGCGCCCTGCATACTAAGTGCCGGTCAGAAGCTTCCGGGCGGCTTTTAATTGATGTCGGAAACGGCACCGGGTCGATCGACGTCCGGAGCGTGAAGGGGGAGGGGGAGGGGGCGGGGGATGTGACGATTGTGGCGCATGGAGACTGAGCGCCCTGTGCGTTCGTTATTTTTCCGTTAGCGGAGCGAGGGGTTGCTAGTAAGGTGTGAGTTGCGTGGGCCATGACGGCGCGCGAGGTGAGTGAGCTCGATAAGAAGTAGGTGCGAAGAGCACTGACTGGTTGCAGTCGTTACGTCAGCCTTGTGGGAACAGACGAGGATATATGGACTAGGAGTGGACCTGGCGCAGTACATTTTCAGCGAGTTTCGATTGAGATATATCATCTTTTGGAGGTGTCGTGGGAATAAGTCCATAAAGCTATCACAACGAAAGTATGGCGCAACTATGTTCGCTGCAAACGTGGAGATATCGTCTCCGTGTTTATTGTGGGAATACCGCCGGGGGGGGGGGGGGGGGGGGGGGGGCGGCGGCTCAGCAGAGCATGTAGTGCCTTAGGTGTTCACTCCGGCAGAAGGATCGCACGTCGTGTGCTTTATGGTTATTGCTGCATATCTTTTTAAATACAAATACGTGTTCCCTGGTGATGGATTCGAGTGCTTCCAAGGCTTCATGCCTTTGTGCAGTCATGCAGCCAGCCCACCGCATTGTCATTACAGTTTATTGTGTTTGTGTGATCGCGGTTTCCATGGACATGTATCCGACACGATTGTGGCGACCGTGGGGCTCAGAATGGCGCATGCTGTTAGTATTTGCCCCTTCCGAGCACGATCTGGCGTGAAGTGATGATGCCCTTCTGAACAGGCCCTGGCGCTGGGCGTCCTCGTTGATCTTCATCTCCTCCCGTGAGAGGGCGGCACCGAGCCGGGTTGCTGACCGGGCACCTCTCTCCCGTTTCAACTGAGACTGCGCTTAGGCGCTTCTTGCCATATCAAGCCCTGGTCTCCCGGCTTCCTCCGCGACCTCTGATCGTCCGCTGTCGTTCCAGCTGCACGGGCCGGCGATCAGCGAGTGCGCCGAGCTGCGCGTCCTGCTGCAGGCGGTGGGCGAGAGCCAGGCGGAGTCGTGGCAGCGGCTGCAGGGCAGCATCAGCGCCACCCTCTGCCTCGTCAGCTTCCTGCGCTCCTCCACGCTCGGCTAATAGCCAGCCGCGGCCCTGCCGGCGTGGCCTCGCTCGGTCCGGACCCGCGACCCGAACTGGGCGTGTCCGGCCGTGATGGGCGGGCGACAGGGGACCGAGGAGGCGCTCGTGCCAGCCCGGCTCTCGTGTGCGGTCGGGGCACGACTCGGTGGCGCGGGTTGGTAGGCCGCAGGTGCGCTTGTGTGGGGTATCTCGGACGCTCAAGGACCCCTCTGGGCCCGTGCGCCCGAGCGTGTGATGTGCGATGGAAACGGACGGAAAATACAGACACGCTGGTGGGTATTCGATTTGCGTTGGTCAGTACGCTGGCGGAGCTATGACAGAAACGGACGCGACGGGGTTTTCCGGTGTCGGTGGCGGCACCGAGGTGGGCGCTCTTCACAACGGGCGCGTGTGCCGCTACTAGGAATGCAGTTTTAAGTCGCGATGGCTGATGGATGGGACGTCTCAAGCTAGTTTATGACTGAAGTGAAGACCAAGAACATGGCGCTGTCACGGAGAACGGACCTGTTGCTGACCTGTTACTACACAGATCCCTGCCAATTTGCCTCCACGGTCTGTTACGCCAGGGACAGAAGCTTGCGTCGCTGCGCTTCGCGGTAGGGGATGCACGCAAACCCTGGTAATCGGCGCACGCCGCACTGCTCACTTGGGAATAACATCGATGGGCCATTAAAGGAGGCGCTCCACATTTGTTTGTTTCGAACTAAAATACCTATCGCGAAGATCATTCGGTGCAGTTCGCAGTCCTTCTGAAGAGCTAAACCCCTCTAGGTTCTCAGGTACACGCCCATGAGGATGTGCAGAGTACTGTTTCAAGGTCGCACAGGTCTCCACGACCTGTGCGACCCCATGTAACGTTATTTAAATCCTGCCATTCGGAGCTCACTTATAACTGTTAGTACACTTTTGAGTAGGAAAGTCTGCTCTAGATAATACAATTTCTCTGTTAAGTAAATTTATAATATGTATATATATATATATATATATATATATATATATATATATATATATATACAACATTGTTTGATTGTCATGGTACCCTGCACAACGTTAACTGAACGCCAGTTAACGGTCATCATACCTGGAAATCGTGCTTATGAACACCAGGCATGAACGGCTCGACAATTTTGCTTTTATTGGCCGTGATCGCCGCATGGCGAATGCATTGGCAGGATTTGAATGACGTCATTATGGCGTCATGGATGCCTGGGTGACCTATACTCCCCGAAATAGTCTGCACATTCTCGTATCCGTGTACCTCAGAAATTAGAGGATACGGGTTTCGATTTCTGAAAATGATCGGGGAACCTGATTTGTGGAAGACGCCTTAAGGAGACGAGTTAAGAACTCGGATTTCGCGCCTAATCTTGCGATCATCAGTTATATATATATATATATATATATATATATATATATATATATATTACAATGTACATAATATGTATGCATATATGTGTGTATACTACGCTTACATATCTTTTTAAGGCTTATGTGTGTAGCCACAGCAATCATACATGGAAGCCTCGCAGATTGCATCTGCTTCTCACAAAGGAACCTGTTTCGTGAAGCTGAAAGGGTGCAGTTGCAGCTCTCCCCACCCGTTTCGCTCCGAGCGTGTGAAAAAATGAAACACCCTTCATATCAATGCCATGCACAATGCAGGTTGATTGTAACAGCGTTGCTAGTTGAACTGCCTTTTCAGTTACCACGTGATGATACTTCCGTATGCATACTCGGTGCTCAATGAGCTTACCGACGAAGGGACGCGGCCAGAGTCTTGATAATTGTGGTATGGGACACAGGGTTGACCAAACCCTCCCCTGGGGAAAGGTCCCCACCCAAAAAAAGTCATCGAATGTGGCCCTCTCGATTTCGGGGAGAGCCCTGCCCTTCTTCATAGCCAGAGGTCACCAATAGCTACCATACTGTCTGCAATCTGAAGCCGATAAAGTGAAGGAAACACACAGTGCTCTTCATTTGAAAATGTTTCAGTGGACTTACTAGGCCGATGGCACTCCTTGATTGTACCGGGATTTCTGTGAGTTGTGTAGGGACATTGTGAACGTAGGTCTTATATCGAAATAAGGTCGTTAATTTGCATTCAAATTAACCTGGTCTGGTCTCAGAATGCTCAGGTTTGTCCAGAATCAGGTAGGGGGAAGAACTGCATAACCCAGTTTAGGCCATGCGCGCTCGCGAGTCTTACAACAAAAACCTCGACTTTCGGCGTTGCAGTCTCTGGAGGCTGTGCTGCGGCGATCCTGTGTTTAACATTAGACGGTGGCCAACGAGCGGACGAAAACGGCGACGTTTCTGAAGTCTTTGAGCGCTCAAGGATGTCAATTGGAGCTCTTGGAAGGTGTTTCGCCAGTATGCTTCACCTGTGCACTTCTTATATTTATAATACAAACGGATTAGCATTTATAGCATCGCGAGCCGTCGCAAGAATTTGGTGGTAGAGTTATACAAATAAAGGTCGAATCCTTACTGTTGTGCTGCTATCGCTGTTGATCTCTTCAGAGGATGAGATCAAAATTATTCAAGTGAACTATACGCCACAGTCCAATTTCTGAACGATACAAGTTAATTTTAAAAGACTTGGCAGCGTTATCTCACGATGGCTTTTCTCGGGAGTCGGGCGGCCACCACCCGGTGTTCGCTGCAGTGGTGAACGCCGCCCGGCCTCATGGAAACTGTAACCCCGGCCATTGCTGCTCCTGCTCCTAAGATTGTGAGCGCGTAGGTCCAAAACTGTTTTATGCAATTCGTTCCACATGATGATCCTGAACGAGGATGTACGCCTTGTTTGGCTTGGCCTCTTTCATGTTTGACCTCACTGTGATCCGCCTCATTGAACACTAAGGAAACCCCCTTCATTTTCCGGGCAAGGAACCCAGTGGGTATCCCCATAGGGGGCGCATTATAATTCCCAGTCAGAGGTTTCAGGGCCATTCAGTTACAGCGTGGGGGAGCCCGTCGGCTGTCATGCCGCTGACACAGGGACGGGATCTCCTGGTCGGTACGGAAACTTTAGAGCGATCCATCATGCGTTGTTCGCCTCCCTAACGCCTTTAGGCTCCCTAATCCGGCTATTTTTCCCAAATAGACGCAGGAGCCCCTCATTGATGCAAAGGACCCCTTATCGTCGTTGGTGTCCAATAATTTGCATAGCGACTGCAGTTCGGCGTAGCGGGCCCCTAGCTCAAATAGGATGGGAAGCCCTCTGTTCGGTACCGGAGCCCTGCCTGACAAAGGGTCCTCCATTATCAAGTTGTGGACTCACATCGTTCACTCTCATCACCACTGAGGGTCTTGACCAATGCAAAAGGCCCCTGGCTTTCGAGGTCCCGTCTCTGTCCCTGTCCAACAGATGTTGCCCCGGCCGACTCGAGGCCCTTTGCAGACATTGGGACTTCTTTTAGGCACTGAGGTTTTCTGACAAAGAAGCCTTCATTGCTTCAAAGGTCACGACCAGTGCGAATAACGGGTTCCAACCTTGTCCCTGCTTAGAAAATGGGTGCCCAGGGCTCAGATGGACGCGGAGCTGACAGTTCGATGCTGGTGGTCTATGACCGAAATAGAGACCCGCATTGTCCCAGGGTAGCCCCAATCGGTGCAAGAAGTCCTTTAACTGGCATTTGATGGCCCGGCCCTGCATTCGTGCCCTCCAATCGGGCACTCGATCATCGGTCCCGAGAGATCCTTCGCCTCCTCTGCGGGCCCCTCGAACACTGTCCCAGGTCGACTCTAGGCTCCTTGTTAATACGGGACCATTGCTAGACATTGCGGTCCCTTGACTGGCACAGGAGTCACTCATTGACTTAATAGCCCCGCCCAATGTAATTCGTGAATCTCGGCCTTGTCTTTGCTTGGGAAATGGGCTCCAAGTTTCAGACATGACATTGGAGTGTAATCTGGCGACAAATATTTCCCACGTCACGGTGGTTAAGACTCTACCATAGAAGTGGGTTTCGCAAAATAGGATTGGTGAGGCCGAGCAGAAAAACTGACGCCAAATATACTAAACAAGTTAACTCAAGGATTTGACGCAATTTCCTCTCAGTGATGATACGGAACTGGAGTCTCCCCCAAACAGAATATAAGAATACAGACCTGGTCTAATACGCTTGCTTGCTCTGCCTCGGTAAGAGATGTTGTCGTTGGTCAACACTATAATTTTGTTTGGCGTCGGCTGTCGAAACCAGGTTGCGGTAATCGACGTAGAGTCGATTTTATTGGGCTTCAGACGTTATTGGACGTGTATGGCTTCGGGAGGGAAGAGTGCAAGTTGATTTGCGCGACTAATAGTCTACCATAGAAATCCCACTGATGGTACAAGGCGGCGTGCCGGCACATGACTCTCATCAGGTGTGCTCGACACGGATAGTGTTAGTGGTCATGGTCGGACAATTGCCGCTGTCGATTCAGTCGGCTGGTGTTGATTGTCAGGTTTTTGCAACCGATTCATCGAACTTTCATGTTGAAGTGAAGTTCGACACATTTCAGGGCTTCCTCCGAATGTAGACGGCCAATAACGTGTGTTGTTTTCATTTTCCTATAAAACATAGTAAAACAACGCAGCTTGCTACGATCTGCATAACTCAAACCAGAGGCGGATCCAGAGGGGGGTTACGGGGCCATGCCCCCCGCCCCTTTGGGCCCCGAAGGGGCCCATTGGCTCCGAGGGGCCATCGTCAGCCAAGCAGGTGCAGTTTTTGTAACACAAAACGCAACGAAACTGGATATCTCTGGATTTCCAGACGACCAAAAACAGTTGTAAGCGAAAGTGAAGGGCCTATGAGAAGTCAAAAAATCATTCAGTGATTGGAAAAGTTGTGAACTGGAAATTTTAAGCCTCATTACAGTGCCTAGGGGCCCCATGCTGTTTCTGGGAGGCCTATATGCCCACAGGCAGGACCGTTTCCACAGTTAAGGAGCATTCCCCATTGCCCTTTATTTATTTGCATTTGCTTGGGGGGCCCTGTGCTATCGTTGGC